GTGTGTTGTGTGCGTGCATTCATTGTGTGCCTTTTTATATCTATATGAAAAAAAAGAGTTATTTTTCCGTTTCGTTTATTCGCGATGTATGTGAGCAAAGAGCATACATTTTCTTCTTGTTTCTTCTTTCAATTTGATCATTTCGTTTCATTCATTTGAAGTCAGTTCGTTTCTCTTGGGTTAGAAAATTACCGTCGAGAGGCTAATGTACGAATTTTTCTTACATTTCACTGCACGTACAAATGACAATGGACTTGCTACACATTTTTCAGGTACTGGTTTGAAAACGCTGTGTGTGTGTGTGTGTGTGTGTGAGTGTTTGCTTTTTTCGCTGTTGTGCAGAGTGTGTACGAAGTGGGATTAGCGAGTAGCAACACAAAACGAAAAGGCGCTTGTTAGAAGTACAGCGCGCGCAGGGAGAATATAGAGAAAATGAAATGTGCGCACAACTTAAGAAGCACCTTAAAAAGAAACATGGTCTCGCCAAACCGATTACTTTGATGTCGTAGAAATGGTGTATAGCATTAAAGAAAATCGAAAGTTATATTCCGAATGAGAGTGTGACATTAAGAAGATCTGTTTGTGCTTTTATTTTTCTGCCATATGACCAGTTTATTTTGTTGTTGATGTTTTGATTTTGGAAGAAGAAATTAGGTTTCTATAGCTTTTTTTCAACAAAAATAATGACAAAAAATAACCAAAAAAAAAACTGCCAAATTATGTACGGTTATGATAAACATCTTGAGCGTTTGCTTTCATTTGACGAAATCAAAATACTATTTCGAAATCCATTTCAGTTAATTTATGCTTAATATGATTATTTTTTTTTTGCATTTAAATTTCAAAATAGCTGACCATAATCAGCATAGAAACTTTTTCGCATCCATCATCATTCACCGCCGCCATTTATAAAACACAAGAAGCCCAGTTCAAAAGAATAAATAACATTAAAAAAAAATTATGCATATATATATAAAAATAGATTGTAGTACTTACGCCCATGCATATTTGGAGGCATTTCGTTTCCCAGTAAACAAAGGAGAAAGTTCTGCACGTAATCGTATCAGTGTTTTGACCTTCTCTGCTTCCCCTGAAACGAGCATAAGATGAACGAAATGAATAAGAAAAAAATGATTGCGATTAAAAAAAAACAACAACAACAACAATAATAATAACAACAGCAACTACAACCGCAACAAGACAAGCCGAGCGAAAGAAAGAAGACGAAGCAATCAACTCGATCACAAGAAAATAGAAACATTCCATCAGTTTAGAGTTAACAGGCAGAGCAATGGATCAATGCTATTTGCTATTTTCAATAATCATTAGAAACATGAAGATAAAATGCATGAGATTGATTCGAGTGTGTGTGTGTGAGTGTGAGTTCGTATCGAAGTGTTTGTGGTTCGGTGTGCAACAAGCACTTTGGTTGCTTAAATAATTGAAGATCGTGGAAAAGCACGGGGTAGGGAAAAGCCAATAAACTGCTTTCGTTCCAACTCTATCGGTTGCTAGTTCATTTCGCACGGGCAACCAGAGAGAAGCGTGCATAATGTAAGATAATCACAGTGCATTCACACACAATTGCACCGAGACACTTACACTCGTTGAAACAAAGCACACACAAATTTGACTCTCGATCTTGAAAACAAGTCATGGAAACACACACACCACTCGTTCAATTCAAACGAGAAAAAAAAGGTATGCGCGCATTTCTTCTTCTTTGCAATTGCAGGTAAGTCAGTTACCTGTTGTGCTGATCGTTTCGGTCGTTTTTGTGTTGCTGTTTTTTTTTCTCGTCCGTATATCATGATTATATTAGTGGCAGAGAAGTAAAAGTGTTTTTGGCACATTCCAGTTCTGAATTTATTCGACACTAATAAGCGTCGCGTTTAAGTGTCTATGCAAATTGGCATGTTGCTTTTATAGCACTTTCTCAACTCATTTGTGGGCCTCTGTTGTGTGAGTCACAGAGTGAGGTCGTAATGATATATACCACATTTCGGCAAATTGATCAAGTAATTACAAGCAAGCCCAAACATTCAATGGACTCATTTATTTTGTCCGTTCTTTTAATTTTGTTTTCTTCTTCGGTGCCCCTTTTTGTACTGTCAATTTTGAATGGGAGCCCATTGTTAATGGCAATACAAATACGAAAATCACCGGCAAACCACGGCACTACTTGGAAAAATCTTTCTTTCGGCCTGGCAAACAACAGGCACATCAAAGTACGTACAGAGAGCCAAAACAAGTATTCAATTGCATTGTGTTTGCTTGTTTTATTTATTGCCATGGCTTCGATTTTCTTGTTTTCCATTGCAACGTTTGGAATTTTTCGCAAGCTCGATTAGAAGAATGCTTTGCCATTTGCAAAGATAGTGAAACCGAAAGACTTAGCGCGTTATTACCGCTCAATTTATCGTTTGATTGCGCATTTGATATACGCAGGCGAATTTGCAATGTAGAATGAACCCATGTCTTGTTTACCATGTCTCTCACACTCGCTCGTTCGTTCGCTTGCTCGTTTCGCTATCTCCCTTTGGCTGAATGCATGACGCAGCGCATGTACGATCTTTTGCGTGCCATTCCATCGGAATCGGTTCAACGTTTCCTTCAAAGTTTTTAGCCAAAGTCACTTTCTTTTTGCGCCACAGAAGATGAAGAAGCAGAAGGAGAGAAAAAAAAACAACGCAATTTATTTTGTTGTCAAACCGCGAAGAAAAAAAATGGATTTCTAATTAAAATCACAAGCTTCTGTGACGTAAATGGAAACACATCTCAGCAGCAATTTTCTATCGATGGATTTTTATTTATTTCCATCTTCGATGTGTCGATGTAGATTTGGCCAAATAACATCATTACATAATGTTGTTATTGGATACGTTTCGGTTATTTCGTTTTTTTTTTCTTTCTTTTAATTGCATTTTAATCGGTTTCGATTGGAGTTCCCAAAATTCATCAATTTGTGTGCATAATTTAAATTTCATAAAAATTTATCTGTCATTCAAATGAAAGCAGCATGTATAGAAAAAAAAAACAGCATCAACTTAAATTGCACGTCTTTTGTGTTGACTGTTGAATGTTTTTTCTTTAGAAAATAGAAGCCATGAATTTTCAGCTTTTATTTTTACATTTGTTCGCGTAGAAAGTGTGTATTGTGTTGCTGTTTGGAATATCTCGTGATCTGTCTAGTTTCTATTGTAATTTGGAAATGGCAAATTGTGAAGTGTTTTCGACACCATCGTCCTCGTCGTTGTCGTTGTCGTTGTCGTTGTCGGATGGTATTCACATGCATTGAAGGAGAATCAACGGTAAACACCATATCAAAAGGACCATGCACGACAACATTGTTGCATGAAAAAAAAGTGTCTACTGCTTTCTACATTGAGTCTTTTCGCAGACACATGCATGATATCTGATACAAAGCCATTGAGATTCCGTTTGATTAAATGAACTTTTTCAAAAACAAAGAACAAAAGATCCAAACGATAAGACATATTTTTCAAAAAGAGTTTTTTTTTTCTCTTTTCAAAAAAAAACCCCAACAATTCAAGAAAAAAACATCCAAGATTGTGTGCCGATTCGAACGATACTACTGGGTAACGTCATACAACACATTTCTTAATAAGCGTTCAATGCTGCTTCTTTTCGATTTATTGTTTTCTGAAAGGAAGTGATAAGAAAAGTCCGATGTCACTCTCAATAAAAATTGATAACACAAAACAAAAGTTCTAAAATCTATTGGTGAAATAAATACATTGAATGCTAAACGACTCATGTCGTTCAAATAGAAGCCGTAATCACATTCCAGAATCGTTGATATGTTTACTTTAAGGCGGAGAGAGAAAAAAAAATTTGGATTCGATTGAAACGACGCAACGTGCTATTATTATACCGAGATTATAGAGAACAAACAAGTGCGCTGCTTCTGGAGATTCGATGATTCAGGGCTGGATTAATGTGAAAGTTAAGAGATAGAAAAAAAAGTGATGTTTCATCATTCTAAATTGAACAACATTCTGCTTAAACGAACACATGCATTTCACCGAATTCAATGCGAGAAAAAAATCGCACAAACATCACTATTTTCAGCGCATCTAGTTCATCGCTTGTTTTTTCTTTTCGTTTCTTTCTTTGTTTTCATTCGATAATTCTTTTTGTTACTTTTTTTCATTCATTTTTTTTTTGTTTCATTCGATTGTGCAAATAACAACGCCGTGCTATTGTGCACTCGATTGAACTGATTGATGTTTTTGAATGTTTTAATGTCACCGTTCGCTTTCGTTGATGATTCTGATGACGGTAGCATTAGCAATACACCGATTTATAATACTTTTGTTTATATTTAACGTTTTTTTTTTGGTGCGGATTGTCGAAATTGCATAAAATTGCAGAATTTTTCCATTTCTGTTTCTTCGCCAATTTTTGCATCGAGGTTTTTGCTAAATCAACACAAATTCGAAATGTTTTCATTAGAAAAAAAAAACGGAATTTTTATTTGCATGTGTACCAATTTAACCTGAAAAAAAAAACGACATGGGGCTGCGCCAATATGAAAGTCAAATTTAAAGTCCACACCATTGATTTAGCGATTCGATAGAAAAATGGTAACTGTATCGATCTAGTTGGCGTTTCAAAGTCAGCGGAATTTGTTCGTATTTGGTATTTTATTCATTGTTCTTGTTCGTGCATTCTTCTGCATGGTTAATTAGATAAACATCAACGTGATTATGGCTTCTTCTGCAGTGTCGAAGTTCTACAAAACCGCCGGAACAAATAAATGTTCAAACGAACAATTGAAGGCAACAAAAAAAAAGAAATGTGGAAATGATGGCAAACAGCATGACCTTTTTGTGGCTAATTAGTTGCAACATCGATGACTATTTTTGAGCAGTTAGGTCAGTTATACACAACGACAACTAATCGATATTTGCTTCTCTCTCTTCAATCATTCGACACTGAGACTCCAGGCCAGACTCAATTATACAGGCTGTACATTTGTAAATGGTAATTTGTATTGATCATTTGGATGGAAAATGTGCCGTCAAAACTCGTGCTAACGACACTCGAGCACTTGGTTGCTTCTTTCAGGCAAAATATAGAATGTTAACTAATTTCAATTGATATGGTTTTATCTATTTTCGATATTCTACCGTATGTATGTGTGCTTCATCCGTTACGATGTTCAGTTGTATGGGCCCATCCATAGAATAATTTGAGCCAATTTTTCAGATTCCGCATGTTATCAAGATTTTTCAAGGTGAAAAGGAATGTGACGGAAAAATTTGCATTTGCTTTCACATCTCAATAAATGAGATCATAATCAAAATGATCATTTCTCTAAAATTCATCACCAAAAAAGCGAATGCCTACAAAAAGAGAGCACGTGCAAATCGTATCTCCGATTAATTCTAAGCGTTTGCTTCAATTTTTCCATGAAATGGGTCATAAAATTCTTCAAATGTGTAATACGATGAGCATTTTTTCATTTGAATGTGTCGTCCAAAGCATTTAATCGATATAAATCGGTGTATTACGTTGCCGTCGTTGCCTTTTCTTCATCGTCTAATTCGTATGTAGCACACGAGTGTGGTGTTGAACAAAAGAATGGCGAAAAAAATTCGGGCCAAGCGTCAATTATGCGTCTTAATAGCTGGGGCCGATGCGAGACGCTATTTTTCGGCATAGAACATTCGTAAAACAATTAGAGAAATTAATGCGTAACTGTTAAAAAATTCAGCGAATAAAAAGAACAGAAAGTCGACATTGAATGGGAATCGGTATCGGAAATCGCATCAGTTATTTCTACGTCGGTTTCAATGTTGTTGTTTTTTTTCTGGTAAATTTTTAGCAAAGTTTTCGTGTGTGTTTTTTCACAGTTGTTGGCAGCTTAGAAACCATAAATTATGGCGGAAAAAAGATCTACCAATTCCATTTAACTGCAAGCAAAACCAGAAATCAACATTTGTGTATGTGTGCGAAAGGGAGTCATTAAGTTTCCATTTCGGAACAACGAAACGAGAAAACACCCGAAAAAAAAAATTTAGGTGAAATATATGTGCTAATGAAACGAAGTAGAAAGAAAACTTT